ACCCACGACACAGGAGAAAAACTTAGTGTGGGGCAACGTTTAATAAAATAAAAAAAAAATGTTAACAACACGAACAAAAATCGTTGAACTTCTGTTCACACATTTCATACTATATTAACACAGAATAGCGCGCGAACAAAAATATAACGTAATTATATAACATTATAGTTTAGAATTCATCAAAGAGATGCAGCGCAGAGATGGCGGACGGCGGCATGCAGTGTTTTTAATCAAATCAAATCAGCGTAGCGGCGGCGTAGCAGCGTAGCGACGTAGCGGCTTCGCGTAGCCGTGCTACGGTGCTACGGTAAAAATAAAAAACTGATAAAATTATAATTACGGGAAAGTAAATTCTTTTATTTTATATATGTGTGTGTGTGTGTGTGTTTGTGTTACATTGTAGCTGGACTGATCTTGATACGATTTGATAAAAGTGTATGTACTTAAAAACTAAGGACTATCTTCCATTTTTAAATAAATGTTTGATTTTATTGTCCTCAAGGTTATTTTCTTTTTCAATCTCTTTGACTGGATTTAGGCATTGCATTGTTCTCACACAATCAAACCAACAAAACCATGTAACTAGAGAATTGTATTGTAAACCCGATTGAAAAAGAGTAACCTATGGAGTTGCTTGCTCGTTCTTCTCCATAGGAATCTACAAGTAGGAATGAGACCTAGCTTCACTTCTAAATTTTCGTTGTTGACGTTCAAAAGTGCTAAAATCATTTATTTCAATTAGTCCTGGTCTAATTGAAATAAATTATTTTGGCTTTGACATGAAAATGTTATTCACAGGCATGGATTCTAGTTTATGCATGAGGTTCTTCGACCAATCCACTCATTTCTTCTTCAGGTTTACGCAATAACTCTTTACACGGGATAATATTACTTGATCTTTCATCATCATCATCATCAGCCTGTACTCGCCCACTGCTGGACATAGGCCTCTCCTTGATGTTTAATGTTACTAATTTACTTTGTTCATTTTTTTTGCGTCAAAACTGATGTAAACCGATAACAACTTCATTGAGTCCCACGTCCGAATACTGGAAGGCATATTTTAACTTGTACTTATATATCATACCACCTCTGTCATTTTACAAATAATTTGTGGTGATAAATCAGAAGGTTGCGTGTTCATATCACGTCGGGGTCATCATTGTGCTTTATTGGCAGTCTATATATATTGATGAGTATTGCAATAAAACAATATCTATCGGCTAATACGTCCGTTTATTGATACTCTCTTTACGATACTGGTGTGCTGTAGGCACAGAACTAGACTTAGGCGCGGCTTAAAGTTGAGTAGCATTTGAGTATTTGGGTGATTACGTGACCTGTTTTTTTATCTTCTTCTCTTTTCTTCTCCTATCCTAATTCGTTATTAATAACGGAAAACCTTCATCTTCACCCAGCTACTCGAACTAAAAACAAATATACCTCTATAATAATATGCAACAATTGACCAAACAAAACTTAACGACGAAATCCCCACGAATCAGAAAAATAACATTCACACTGAAAACAGAAACTATAAAATACATTAAAATCAGTATCGCAAAGTTATAAATTATAATAGATTGTGTTTATTGCAAATATATCCACATAATATACATACAATACAAATGCAGTAAAATCTGGCGAGTGGTTTTCATCGACGATTTTACGAGAAGTGTTACAACTTAGATAAAAAATAAAATAATAAATTGTTTTATACATATGTGCAGGTGGCTCTGTGGTGAATCATCGCCTCTTAGCGCGCTCCCTCCACCAAAATGTTGGGCATAGTGTTCACAGTTCTCTCCGTCAGTGTGGCCTGCCACGCCGACATTCACAATTGTGAGTACTGTGAAAGTGTTATGGGATGACCCGGTTAACGAGCAGATGGATCACCTGATGGTAAGCTTCAGGCATCAGCAATCGGCGGCGGCGCCCATGGACACCCAAAACACCAGAGGCGTTACAAGGGATTAGGAATTTGAGGATTGTTGGGGATTCGGAGATTAGGGAGATTTGAGATTGGGGAGTTTTGTGCTCTCTTTCACTTCTCTTTTTTGAAGAATTGATTTGTTAGTTAGGGTAGCAGTGGATGAGCGATTAGATGCAAGGCAACGTGACAAGCATTATTGTTCTCTTTCTGATCCCGGTGTAGTAATGTAGGAAAATCAGGAGCCCGGATTAAGATCGGCTATCACAGTGAAATTGAATAGACACAATTTTTGACTTTTTTCCTGACTGATCTGATGATAATGGTGACGGTGGATGAATAGACGTGGCTACTATGCAACATGACGTTTCAACTCTAATTGTAACTGTTTATAACTAATGAACGCTGCTCAATTGACTTGAATTTTACAGCATCATCGGAGCCAATGCGGCTGTTCCCACCACCGCCGCCGTCACGGCGTATGTCATCCAACCTGGTGGACAAGCTGAGGCGGCAGCTCATGCGGGACAATTATGACTATCAGAATGGAAACTCCAACGAGCGCAGAAAACAGAATGCCACTCGCAGCGATGCAGCCGCGGTACGTATCGTACGAGTAATAAACGGAGTTCAGTAATACTTAGTTATAAGTTATCAGCTGCCCAGGAAATACAATTTCATGGCTATGTTACACGTAGGACCGTATTGCATGCCACAATATTTTCAGTATAGGTATTCGACGCGACTAAAAAAGGAAGGTACATGGATTGGCTATAAATATTTTGTTTCTAAGTATTACTAAAATATATATTTACAGAAGTTATATTAATAGAAAGTTGGAGCCGACAACTTACCCCCGTATACCTAGAATCTTGGAGAACGTGCAGGCAGGCAGCGCAGAGCAGCGTATGCAGGGCAACCTCTACGTGCCCGACCAGCCTGAGCAGCCTGAGCAATTTAAGCAAGCTGAGCCCCTCCAGGAGCCCGCCCAGTTTGAGCAGCCCGAGCAGTTCGAACAGCCCCAGGATGGCGAGCCACCGCAACGTGAACCACCACCTCAGCGCGAGGCACCGCTGCATCGCCCACAACGCCAACAATGGCAGCGTGGTCACCGCTTCGAGCAGCGGAAACGGTACGACAGACCGCAGCAGAAACAGACCGGTGACTGGCCGCGCTACCAGGATGGAGCGCCGCCCACTGACCAACGGGACGATCGCGACTACTCGCCTGACAGTCACGGCAACCCTACCCACCTCAATAAGCGGCGCGATGCACTGGACGACGGTTTTGTAAATCAAATGCAAGTCGCCCCCGTTGGTCAAAGATACAGGAAAAGGCAGCAACAAAGACGGGGACAAGGTGGTGGTGGCTACATGCGAGAAGAGGGCCCGACACCTCCTATAGATCTAGACGAAACAGACACGCCGCTTAAAAACGAGCCGCATGACAACCCGGAGAATGTAGACCAGCCCGAGCAGCAAAACGAGCGTGAGGTACACGATGCCTCCGAGCAGCAGAACGAGCACGAGGTTCATGATGCCCCCGACCAGCAGGACAACGCCGAGCAGCACGAGCACTCCGACCAGCAAGACCACCCCGAACAACAGAACGACCAAGCCTCTGACTACTCGGACGCCAAACGTCAACGTCAAGCGGTCTACGATGAGTTCGCAGGACGTGGCAACAAGCAACCACAGCGCGGAGGTAGGCCTACAGGCCCACCCCCGCAAAACAAGCGAGATCATCAAATCTCTAACAAAGACTTATTGTACTACATGGACGATAAACAGCTGCGACGAAACAATATTGCGTCAGATTATCAATCGTTTTCCGCCGAAAACGAATCAGACGAGCAGAACAGCATTGATAATAGTACCCATACTAACCGTGCCCATGTCAACGCTAGCCGGGTCACTCCAGGCGGCTTAGCCCCTGGTCGCGCAGGTCCTCATCGAGCTAATTTCAGTTATGTCTACGCAAATGGTACGAAATTGAATGTAGGGCGTAGGATGGATATGGAAGTGAATGCAACGGTGCGGCCGCGATTGGACCACACAAAGCGCACCTTCGTGGTCACCGTGGCGGGAGCCAACGTCACCTACAAACTATTAACGGTAAGGAAAATGTATAACTCTCTATCACCTCATCCAAAGCAGGAGTGCAAATTATTGGATGATTTTCTCCCCTCAAAAAAAAAACTAAAAGTTCTTAGTTGGCACTTCCCTGGTGCCTAACAAAAACCAGTGTTGGATGCTCACTACCTCAATGTATACTAATCTGATAGTCATTCTAACTTAGACAGTGGGCACTTAATGGCTGTTGATGATGATGACTAGTTAAAAACTGATATGATTGAAGGTTTTGAGTTAGTAAAAAAAATATTTCATTTATGACATGTTTATTTTTTTCGTGTATCTCTTTTGTATTGTTGTATCTTGCCTGCTGGTAAATAACTTCTTTCTTTTTTCTATCTAACGTGATATGGTTTTCGCTTGTGACATGGCAATGTGTTGCAGCTGAAAAGCCACGACCAACGTCGCAGTGGGTCCAGGCGGTTCCTGGAGGAGCGCGCGCCGCACAGCGTGGCACTCATCAGCCTGGACAAGGCGCCCCTACCCGCCTTTCGCCTGCCGCGCATGCGCCGCCAGTACATGCACGAGCCGCACGACCACCGCAACCCGCTCGATGACGTCATGCCCCACCACCGACACCCCAGCCACCATTAATAAATTGATATCAGTTACGTTTAAAATGTACGCCTTTCATTTAAACCTCTCAAAGTCATGAATGTTATTAAGTCTTCTCATTGTAGACCCCGTATAATATCTGTTTTTTACACGAGCCTTCCTACAAATCTGATAGTTACAAAATTTTAGCCTTAAGTCGATGTGGACTGCTCGGCCGAGGCTCGGCTACAGAGTACAAACGGCAACAACGTATTGTTATTTAATATTTTAGTATTGCACAAGTGACGCAAAGTATTGATTTTTTCGCTGTTTATTGTAAAATTTATTGATTGTCATAAAATTTCCAATTGGAGGATTATATTTCACGTGTAGGGCGATAAATATAGAATCAGCCGCTCTGTACGAGGGAGACAGAGCGCTGAGCGATGCAGAGGACGCTGGTCACACTGGTCGCTCTGTACCACGCGAGGCTACTGGGGCAGCTGCATGCTACTGCCGCCGTGCAGCACCTCGGCGCAGGTGAGTGAAACACGTTCAGTGTCTGCCGGAGCCGGCCAACCACCTCCACTCATAGTCTTGTTTTTGTTCCAAGTACAGCTGATAAAGGCAGTCAGAAAACCCCAAACAAAACTGTTGAGTTTTTAAATATAATCAAAGAGGATCTTCGGCGTAATAACGATGACTACGCGGTGTTCGAGCATAAGCTGTTTCTGGAGACGCCCACAAGTGGTTCTCCCCCGGAAGTAGAGCGCCAACCTGCGCCCCTGCAGCAACCCAACCGCATCCCGCCAAGCGGCGGCCCCGAGGCTGGCTCGGGCCCCCAAGTCGTGGCTAGGCCGGGGCCCCCACTAGCTCGGCCAGCACTCGCCGCCGCTGGAGCGCGACCACCACCCCTCGTGCGTCAGCCTGGCCGCGCGCTGCCACGCAAACCTCTAGGAGCCCCGCCCCATCGCCTGCAACGACCGCGCCTGCCCCTGCACGTCCCCATCAATACCAGACGAGGTGTTAACATGACTATAAGAAACGACACATATCACTACGGCCACATGACTCCTAATGCCACTCAGTTCAGGAGTTACACACACTCCAAACATTATAAGAAAGTTCGCGTCGACAAACTGAAACGACTTGTAGATAAGGGAAAGAATCGAATGCGAGATCATGCCGGCCGGACCGGTCCGGAAAACTTAAACGAAGCGCAGGGTTCGCCTGGTGAGAAGGCGGTAGAGGGCGGTGACGAGGTGGGAACAATGGCGACCACTCCTGAGATGCAGCACGAAGACATAGACGCCTCGGTTCCTGCGGATGTTATTACGGACGCAACGCAGACCACGACGTTGTCGCTGTCAGAGATGCTGGCGACGACGAAGAAGAGTCACGAGGCGCCCAAACTGCGGCACCACGTGGAGCAACACGCACAGTCTCCCTCGCCCGACCAGCTCGACATGGCGCCCGCCCGAGGACCCGCCATCACGCTCATTCGTTTCAAGGTACTGTTCCAATTTGCTCATGTTCATAGTCTATCGTCGTGTTTCCTATAGGCCAGTGTGAGCAGTTTCGAAAACGAAAATTGATATAGTTTAGTAGGACATAAAACTTATTACGCAGGTGTTGTATACCGATCTAGTACCTACATCTCTATTTGTACCATATCTATATGACAGGGCCGGCTGTGCCAGCGAAGCATACTGAACATGGAAGGTCCCTCGTACGGGAAAGACGGCTCCATGGTGATGGATGCTTACAATCCGGAGCACGAGAAAGGTCGTGAGTTCGACGACACCACGCCTGCCAACCCGATCCTTCCTCGCTGCTGCAACTGCTGCAAGAAGTCGGTGCTGGGCTGCCAGTGACGTCACCAGGCCACGTGGTCATATCGGTAATGTGAAGGTGACAGTAGTGTCAACTACATTAGCATCATCTTCAAACTTAAGTCACTTAGTTTTATTAAATAAATTATAAACAAACACAAATAAATCATTAATTACTATCAGTTGTTTTAGTTTTGATGCTACTGGTATTATTAACCGACTTCAAAAACAAAAAGGAGGTTTTCAGTTTGACCTGAATTTATGTATGTATGTATGTATGTATGTGCGCGATTATTTCGTGACTGGCTGATCCGATTTTGATGCGGTTTCCAGAAGTGTTTGTTACACTTGGGATTAGGTTTTAGTACAATAATTAAACGACTTAAAAAAAGAGGGAATTGAAGTCAGTTTTTTAAAGTAGTAAGTGAAAGAATTAACATAACATAACATCACGCCTTTTATTCCCGAAGGGGTAGGCAGAGGCCTACCCCTTCGGGAATAAAAGGCAGACACTCTACAGAGTAGGTATAGAGTGTAACACCCACTTTTCACTATTTATGTTATGAGTCCCATGTAATAGGGGGTGAGCCTATTACCATATACCGGGCACAATTCCAGACTCCGTGCTACTACTGAGAATTTTTTAAAAACCCAGTAATATTTTACCCGACCCGGGAATCGAATCCGAGACCCCTTGCATGGCAGGCGCACTTGCGACCACTCGGCAAACGAGGCAGTCAGTAAATGAATAATTGTATTGTACATTTATTAAAACAAGGAAACTAAAGCTTTTATTTAATCACATATCTTAAGTTTACGTTCGAGTAGCCTATTGATGAACCTGTCAAGCAACTGGTTAATCTTGTATGTCACCCGCCCACGGCGGTGGCGGCATTATCGGTGGTCGCCGTCTGCAACGGGAATGTATATTATTATCATTTTAAGCAAGCAGGCTAAGTGGGCACTCGAAAGGCACTCAATAGTCATTCACCTGTGCGGTCCCCTTATATACCGCAGCACCCTGTAACACATAGATACGTGAGTGTATGCCAGGCCAGAGCATCCTACTGAACACAAGAAGCGACCTCACTTGTCAGCATCCTCGCCCAACGGCATGAAGTCACGTCGCGCGCGCTGGTCCAGGAGCTGCGTCTCGCTGCAGCACGTGCACGGAGTACTGGACTCCGCGACCTCACTGGCGAGTGGTAAAAATTGCGCTCGTTGTGTATTGGGCGGACCGGCCACGTCCAGTAACTCGGCACACAGCAGAAGCAACATTTCATACGCCGGGCCAGTCCGCTCTCGCGCCAGTCCTTGACACGCACGCCATATGTCCGGCGTCCGTTCGGTCTGTTGCTCCGAGCCACCCAAATATATCGATCGCGGCCGGTAGTAATCGAACTTATCATTGTCAGCTTTGTCCCCCTTATAGGCGGGGGTTGGCGAAGGCGTGGGCAGCGGTGCAGGGTCAACATTCACGCGGATGCCATCGTCCAACGTGAAGGCACTGTCGGGTATGTTACTGAATGGCCCGTCATCGTCAAGCCGCGCGCGGTTGTTTCGCTCGCTCGAGTCCGCGGCGCCCATCAGCAACGGGATCATCAGCTCCACGGTAGGTGAGGTTTTTGGCTACATGCAAAGAGAGATACATATACTGGGATTGTGTGACACTAGGGTAAATTATAACATTTTATATTTTTATTAAATGTAGCTGAAAAAGTTACTCACAGCTTCGTTATAAAGTTCTATCTCATGGAGGGGCGAGGCAAGCGCGAGGCAACACTGTGGATGTACAGATGTGGTAATCAATCAAAAAGAGAGATTTGTATGTATTTGATGGGCCGACGTCTGACCACTATGTTACTTTACTCTTATTGGCAGGATATTTGGAAAGACAATAGGCCCCGTCACCGCTTGAATTTACTGCTCCTGATTATATTAGCTGGTAAAATAGTCAATCACTCTTCTCGAGTCAGAAAAGTTATGTAGAAAATGATCCTATTCACACAAAATTGACTCTTTCCAAAAGTGGACGTGCAATATTTATCGCCGGGTACTTACAGTGCAGTGAAGTGAGCTCATCACGACCAGCGCCAGAAGCGCGCCTGTCCTCATGGCGGCGGCGTGATGACTGCGTGACGGCTGCGTGGGATGCAGTAGTCGCGAGCAAGACTGCCGACCTTATATAACCCACTACCCCGTGAAAGATAACCCAATCAACTTATCTGTCACACTCGCAATATCCAATAGATACGCTGTAACGCATTCGCGACGCACATCCTACTTGATGCAATCATTCTTAATTCATTATTTCATTATCTACTACCACTGGTTGTACCATGTAAAGCGTTGAGTCTCCTGCAGTGTCAGCGAACTAGAGTAACTCAAAAAAGGGAACATTGGTGTATAAAACCCTCCCGGAGATTTAAGACGGCTTCTCATGCATGAGGGTGTAGGTTCGAAACCTACCAAAGGCAAGTACCAATGTGACTTTTTCCGAGTTATATGTACTTTCTAAGATTATCTAGACACAACTGGCAAACGGTGGAGGAAAACATCGTGAGGAAACCTGTCAGTTTATTAGTATATTAAAACCTTCTGCAAACCACATCAAAATTGGTTCAGCCAATGGCGAGATAATCGTTATTATGTTTGTGGGTACAAACATAAATACAGATCAAACTGAGAATCCTTCTCCTTTTATTGGAGTCGTTTAATAAAAATGGCTCCAGGTTTTACTGTTTCATTTCTAGAAAAACCCGTAAGACTCAGCAACAGAAGAAGTCACCTTAGTAGTCTCCCTACAAGTATTAAATAGAGTTTGATGCACCTCAGAGACATTCAATGTCTGATTTTTTAATCAATGATTCTCCACACAAGTCTTAGTTTTGGAAGTACCTATAAGTACAGCTACATAACACGACATCACGCCTTTTATCGGTAAGGGCAGAGGTGCACATTACGGCACTTAATGTTACCGTACAATGTAACTCCCACTGTTCACTATTTATGTTATGAGTCCCATGTAATAAGGGGTGAGCCTATTGCCATATACCGGCCACAACGCCACTACGTGCTACTACTGAGATTTTTTAAGAAATCCAGTAATACAATGCCCGACCCAGGTATCGAACCCGAGACCCCTTGCTCGGCAGTTGCACTTGCGACCACTCGGCCAACGAGGCAGCAATATGTATAGTTAATGATCAATTAATTATTGCATAAGGCCGTGGATGGAGAACTTCTCATCGCGTCGCAACGAAGAAACTATGGTTCAATAGGAAGGACTGAAAGCCAACTAGCCATGTCATAGTGTAGATTTTTGAAAACTTCACCTCTTCATCCAAAAATAAAAATAAAAGTCATATAGATAATAATATTGTAATTTATTTAATCGCTAGACTAGGAGGTACATATTGTTATCGCTATGCGTCCGTCCGTGCAGGCCCCAACACAGGCCCCAGATACAGGCCAAGCAGGCCAAGCATACAGGCCAGGCCAACAGGTTCACTTGTGCAGGCCAGCCCGCTTGGCCTCGAGCTCGTATATAAGCAGCCGCCACATTTTCACCACGAACACCTCCGCTTCTTCGTCTAACACCTGTAAGATTGAATTATGTTTAAAATCGCATCAGTTTATTATTACTTCATTCTCAATATTATTTGACGCTGTATCGATTGGATATCATTATGAATGTAATTAGATCTTAATGTTTTTAAATTATTATTTTACAATGAATTAAGATGTAGAGAAGTATCAAATGAAAATTATTGTAATGTATAAGATTTCCTTGGACTTAGCTTACGTAATATGTCTACACTAGAAATCGTAGTATATGTGATTCTATATTTAATGTAAGATCTCAGTGTACATGGAAATAAATATATCTTTACCTTAACATTTTTTTTAAATTAGTTTACAGATTTCGATCACATCTCAAACCATCACCAGTCTATCTCACAAGAGTATAACATCGATCACGACAATCAATCTCATATTATTTTAACGTTAATCTCATAGCAATGTTACATCAATCCCACATACGTCCAACATCACATCATTCTAACTTCAATCAATCACACAGTAATATCATCACGTAAAAACTACTCAATGGATTTTGATTAAACTTGGCACAGTTAAATTACAGACACTCCCTTCCTCCCGCCTGGGTAAGGCGGGAGGGAGTGTCAGACTCTTACTGACTAAAAACCACCCCGTTCCTACTCCTGCACTTCGAGACGGAGCCCCGGTAACCCGTTAGGTTCTCTGCGGCTCCGTATCGGCATCAGCCCTGTTGGGCCCCATCCGTGGTGGTCTTATGGGTCTTTGAGGCGCGCGAGAATAACACATAGGCTATTTTTTATACTGATACTGCAAGCGAAGCTACTGGCAGAAGGCAGTTTCATCATAAAAGTGGCAGCGCCATAACTCACCATCTGGACGTCATCAAGGATCCCTTGCGGCGCAGACCCGGCAACTACTTTACTGCAGATAAAGTCAACCAATGTCGGCTCCGGCTCGCCTATGTACTCGATTATTTTCTTATTTATCCAAGGCCTGATTTTCTTCTCCATTAATACGTTGTCAATCTGTAAATATCAAAAAGGGTTTTAGAAGACATGGTCTGAATAAATCAAAGGTTGAAATGATTTGGTATTTAATTTAGTGACTAAGTGTTAACATAACCTGGATGACAAAGGTCTTTGAAATGTAATCTTATGGGAGATTTAGAGGTTAAGAATACCTCACCAGAGGAGGTAATGATAGGACGAATTTCAAAACACGACAACGGCCCTTAATCATGTGAAGCATAAGATACGAATGGCACATAGGTAAATAGCCAACAATAGTATAGATATCAGTCGGCACACATGAACTGTTTCACTTAAGTTTTTTTTATTAGTACTACATAGGATTAGAGTTCAGTGCTTATTTCCAGAAGGGTATACTTGAGTAGCGTGCCATTGGCGAGGCCTATGTCCAGCAGTAGAATAGAAAAGGCTGTTGTTACTTGAGTGTCTTCAAGGCCCGAGTGACTTACTGATGAACATACACAATTGGGATGATGACAGAGTATGAAACTTAAAAATCTAATTAGTCCGTACGTTAGGTAATTAAAAAATATTAGACACGTATTTTTTTATTCTGTCATATAATAAAAAAATACTTAGATAAAACGAATCAAAGTTTAGGAGTGGGGGCTAAAACATCATTTCTACGTATAAAATGTAGAAGGGTCACGCGACATTTCAAATCAATATATCGTCGAAAGTATTCGTTTCTGCAAGAAAATAAAAAATACGTGTCTAATGATTTAAAATAATCTACCAGACGGACATCAATATAAAAATTAGGCATCTACCCTATTGTTGTTGGGCGCAACATTTTTTAACACCAGTACCACTAGCCAAATGGCACTTTAGCGCTTGTCTACCAAGATACGAGATAGTGGTTAAACTACCTCCAATCAATAAAAAAATAATTCTTACCTGTGCCGTATCAAGTTTATACTGAAACAGTTGATCCTTCTGTGTGGGTATCTTGTCGATGAGACTTTTAATATGTTTCCGTTTCTCCTCAGCACTTCGATTCTCTTTGTCTCCGGCCGCCGCGTCGGCGTTAGCGGCACCACCGCTGTTTTTCTTTGATTTGTCTTTCTTTTCCTTAGCTGTAATGATATATTTATAATTTGTGTTAAAACCGGTTTGCTGTTATGTTTGATCTCATAAAATGATTTAAACGATACACTAATACATAAATATAACATACATAACATCACGCCTTTTATCCCCGAAGGGGTAGGCAGAGGTGTACAATAAGCAACTGTACAATGTAACACCCACTTTTCACTTTTTATGTTATGAGTCCCATGTATTAGGGGGTGAGCCTATTACCATGTACCGGGCACAATTCCAGACTCCATGCTACTACTGAGATTTTTAAAAACCCAGTAATACTTTGCCCGACCCGGGAATCGAACACGAGACCCTTGCCTGGCAGTCGCACTTGCGACCACTCGGCCAACGAGGTAGTCGTTGGCCAGGTAGGCAGGCGGCAGTAGATACACTAATAATGACATTAAAAACAAGATATTTTGTGACATTAATCTGGTGCACTTTGATTCGCTACTTAAAGGACTCCTATCAATAAAGACAACAATTGCCTATTTCAATTATGTTCAAAATCTTACAATATAATAATTACAAAATGAGAAGCCTGATTGAACACATCTCAAAATGCTGTTGTAAATGAAACAAAAAGGACTTCCGATGCTCTTTATGACCGATTCCATTGATACAGAACTAAATTAAATATTTCAATACTCACGTCGTGGTTGATCGTGTGTGTGCGACCCTCCAGTAGGGGTCCCGTGTGTGGGGGGTCCCCCATGTGGGGGAGGGTGCCCGGCGTGGGGGGCCCCGCCCGTGGGCTCGTCATCGTCCCCAGCGAACGCTGCGTGTACGCGTCTAACGCGACCTGATTCTGTTACAGAGAAAATAATCAAATCAATAGAGTTTAACACGCTATCAATAAAAAATAGATTTATAAACATCATCATCATCATCATATCAGCCACAGGACGTCCACTGCTGAACATAGGCCTCCCCCAATGACATAGGATAGGCCGGTTGGAAGCGACCTGCATCCAGCGGTTCCCTGCGACCTTAATGAGATCGTCTGTCCACCTTGCGGATGGACGTCCTACGCTGCGCTTTTTATAACCAATCTGTATTAATGTCCGTGTTAATATTATTAACATAACATAACATCACGCCTTTTATCCTCGAAGGGGTAGGCAGGGGTTCACTATTTATGTTATGAGTCCCATGTAATAGGGGGTGAGCCTATTGCCATATGGCAATACCGGTATATATATACCGGGCACAATTCCAGACTCCGTGCTACTGCTGAGAGTTTTTTTTAAAAACCCAGTTTTACTTTCCCCCGCCCCGGGAATCGAACCCGAGACCCCTTGCCCGGCAGTCGCACTTGCGACCACTCGGACAAGGAGGCAACCTAATAATATTATTACTTTAAGAAATTTAATTATAAAACAACAATCATTTATGATAAGAAACTACAATATTTTTAACTTCAAAAGAATGCTTTAACTTCAGAGTCTCCAAGCAGTCACCGATGACTGCTCTCCACTTACACCATTATAGATATTATTTCCAATGTATAGAGAATACTTTTGTTATACACAAGTTAACATTACTGGTTCGGGACTCGAACCCTATATTATGTTAGCATAAAAGTCGCTAACACATAGTATTTGACGACCTCAAAATTCTCTCAATAATAATTAGTCAAAAATAGCACATTAACATATCTTAAAACTATAACTTAAAAATAAATTGAGTTAGTAAGATGTTAGTATATCAAACCTCGTCCCATATAGTGTCCCAACCTCCAAGCTATCCAATGCAGCGTGAATGTACAAATGTAATGATTAAACAAACATACGAAACAATAATATTAGCCATCATTATGTCATGAGCTTACCATTCTGTTGAACGACGAAAGCTGATGAAAACTCAAAGATTATAATGTTTGTCGTACGTAACTTTGTATTTGTATGTAAGACAAAATAGTAAATTATCAATACATATGAAAAGATAGTTTTTTGCTTTATTGTCTTATGTATTTTTACTGAAGTGTGAAAAATAACTGATAAATAATTTAATGGTTTTTTATTGAAATGTGATTGAAGAAAAATGATTAAGATTTTTGTATATTCACGTGAGTAACCCGCGATTTTAGTTTATTTTTAAGCAGTTCAATTTATTATGTAGTCATTTTATTTAGAAAATGTCAAAATTGATAGTTTTTGTACGAATTTTGTCCACATTGTGACATTAACTCGTCGAGTACCGTCATTATAGACACAATTATAGAACAATAGGTTGCGGTCACCGGTGACCGCTTCGTGTTTGACAGTTTAATATGCAAGTACTTAGCAAATACTTAAATTATTAAGAAAATGAAACAATTTTCTAATTATTAATTCCTAAACCCCAATAAGTATATTAGTTTGAATGGAAAAGCAACATTTTGCATAAATAAGTATTATTTTAGAATTTGTTAGTACATTTTAATGGTTTTATAGCAAGACAAGAATACATACAATAACCATGTTAGTAAGACCTCAAAAAGCAACTAAGTCTAGCACTTACCGTTAGGCGTGTCATTAGCTGAAGGGCTCAACTTATGGTGGTTCTTGAAACTGATTGTGATAGGTGAACTACCCGTTGACGTCACAGTCTGCAAAACATTGTTATTATGCTTTATTCCTTGTATTATTTGGTTGGCCAGAAATACTACTACGAACTACGGGTCTCGTTTCCTGGGTCGGGTAATGTGGGGTATTCTGTTTTAGAAAATTCTCAGCGGTTTGGAATTATACTGTAAGCTACTAGGTATCTTTTATTAGATGAAATTAATAACAAAACTGGTCAAAAATGAGTGATACATGCATGGACATTTCTGCTTACCCCTTCAGGGATAAACGATGATACTATGAACATTGAAATGGTGAGTAAAAAGTAAAAAACTATGTTGATAGAAAAAATGTAAAATGATTGGAACAGGGTAACTCACCCTGTTCCTGATGACCTTATGATCCGCGAAGGTATCCGCATTCTTGCACCTCCATACAGACATGCAAGAATGGACGGCGTCTGGTTTAGTCTGTACGTCCGTCACTCCCCTCCGTCGTCCCTCCTCCGACCAGGAGGGACTCTGAGGAGATCCCAAGCACACTGTCAGTCCGGGATAGTGGGGGAAGGAGTAAGTCCAGTAGTATACGTACGTGGTGGGGCGGGGTCGGGGGCTGCGGCGACACAAGGTGGGGGTCGTGCCGGGGTCCGAGCTGGGGGGTGAGCGTCGGTGGTGGCGGCGCGGCGGGGTGCGGGGGGGCGACCCCGCGGGGGACAGCGGGGGCGACGCGGCCGGGGGGGACGCGCCCGAGCTGTCCGACTCAATGGGGGACGCCTCGCGCGGCAGCTGGCGGACGGCCGCCAGGCGCAGGTAGCGCTCGCGCTCACGGGCCGCGCGCTCTCGGGCCTGCGGATAGTTCATCTTATATAGTACTAATAATACTTGTTCAAAATAAAATTGGTTACGTTTATTTTTAAATGATTAAATATTATATCTTTAATATTAGTAAACAAACAAAACAGGCAAATATGTTTATAATAAAGCGAAATATAGACGAAATACACCTGGGAGCAAAGAAACGGAGCCACTAGCGTTTTTTCTTGGTTATTTCTTGATAAGGATAAATATTTTCTGATAGAAGTACTTTACCAATTCGGTAACGTAGATATGTTGTACACACGGAAAATTTAATTTAGTTACCTTACAACCAAACTGCCTCGATGGCAGAGTGGTTGCAAGTGCGACTGCCGGGCAAGGGGTCTCGGGTTCGATTCTCGTATCAGGCAAAGTATTTTTTTGGTTATTTTTCAGGTTTTTTAAAAATTCTCAGTTGGAGTCGTACGAAGTCTAGAATTGTGCCCGATATTCACCTCCTATTACAGCGGACTCATAACATAAATAGTGAAAGTAGGTGTTACATTTTACAATGGCTAATGTGTACCTCTGCCTAACCTTTCGAGGATAAAAGGTTCGTGACGTTATGTTATGCTTACAAAAAAATGGTAGTTAAAGCATTATTACGTATACAGAAATATATTAAGAGCAGAAGGAATTTTTTTGGCTTCGTTTGTTTACTCTCAAGTGTAGTTTCTTTATCGATCTGGATTATATTTTGCAGTAACTAAAGAGCCGTAAGATATAAGTATGGCGACCGTACCTCCCTGCGGGCCTCCTCCCTCTGCTCGGCGCGCTGCAGTTCCTGCGCGCGCTGCTGGTCGTGCTGCAGACTGACGTCGATGAGTAGACGCGGGCGGTACTGCGCGTCGAGGGCGGCGCGCGCCCGCTCGTAGGCCGCGCGCGCCGCCGCGTCGTCGGCCGGCCGCGCGCCCCACACGCGCGCGCGCAGCGCCTCCAGCTCCTCGGCCTCGCGCGCGCGCTCCCGCGCGTCCGCTTCCGCCTCGCGCACTCGCAGCCCGAGTCGTCGCTGGAGCTCCTTCAATGATAATGATATACGATTTATTATGTAAACAGTTTAAAATGGGTGCTTAAATAAATGTGTGACAGCCATGCTTCAGCACAAGCCAAGTGATACCACGGCCGACAGACGTGAAACAACGCTTGCGTTGTTTCACGTCTTGTAAGTGAGGTTAACGGAAGCCCAATTACCCCAATTAATCTCCCCCATCCCTGAATCTCCAATAATCCTCAAACTCCTAATCCCCAAAAAACCAATAACGCACTTACAACACTTCTGGTGTTCCATCAGGTGATCCATCTTATGCCATAAAAAAAATATAACGTCAGTTTTTAACCATAATAAAAACGCATTATATTTTACGTGTACAAAACAACCATCGCCAGACTACTCATATCTAGCCAGTCGACAAATGGACATAATTATTTATTTATATTCAGTACTTGATAAATATAATTTTAAATTAAAAAAATATACAAAATAATATCATTATTATGAAAATAAAATCTTGTGGATGAACTAATCGAAAGCAAACAACACCTAGCAACACTTAGTAGTCTATGCACTTCATAGATGTCATCTAAGACCCATTGGACAAAGCTTAAGTTCAACGATAGCCGACTCATGGCTGATATGATAAAAACAATGATGCTTACCTTCCCCTTGTAGTACTTGTGATCGTCCCTCTCGTCATCATAGTCCTCCAGGAACTCCTTCAGTCGCTTGGCCTCCTTCTCCCTCTCCTCCTCGCGACACCGCTCCCTCTCTCTTTCCTTCTCATACTCCTTTGTCTTCCGCCGCTCCCGACTCTCCCAGTTTCGCAATCTGAAGAAATAAGACAGTACTGTATGTTGACTCGTACGCAATGAGAATGTCTTGAAAAGACTAGCTAAGTATTTAATTTAAAAAAGTAAATTGATATACTTTCGATAGGTAAGTTATTAGGTAATTTTCAAAGATATGAATCCTAAATAAAGTTTAACATATACAAGCACATAATATAAAATTACATCACGCCGCCTTTTATCCCCAAAAGGATAGGCAGAGTTGCTATTATACATTACGGCACTTGATGCCACTGTACAATGGAACACCCACTTTTCACTATTTATATTACGAGTCCCGTGTAATAGGGGGTGAGTCTATTGCCATATTACGCCGGACACAGTGCCAGACTCCGTGCTACTACTGAGATTTTTAAAAATCACAGTAATACTTTGCCCGACCCGGGAATCGAACCCGAGACCTCTTGCTCGGCAGTCGCACTTGCGACCACTCGGCTGATGAGGCAGTCTTTGATACAATGATCTGTTAATAGAAACAGTTTATGTTTGACTGACAATACGTGCCTATTCAAGGACCATATCACATGGCTTTTTAGACTCGCAAACGTATACATTTTGTTTAAGTCTTGAGACTTCATTTTACCCCAGGAACGCGGATGACCGCGATGTCAGAAGCTATTCTTATATAAATCTTACCTCTCCTGGTAAGCAGCTTCCTTCTCCCTGGCTTTCTTCTCGAGCCGCTTCTTCTCCCGTGCCTCATCCTCCTGTTCCTTGTCCTTCCTGGCGTCCGCCTCGCTACGGCTACGACCGCGCGATCGCTCGCGAGATCTCTCGCGTTCTCTGTCTCGTTCGCGTTCTCGCTCGCGTTCACGTTCACTGGAAATAAATATATAAAGTTATTATGCGATCGGTTTAATAGACAGTTTTCGAGGTAATGAAATACCCAATAATATTTGGCAAATCCAGAAACCAAATCTGAGATCCCTAGCTCATTATCATCATCATCATCATCATAATCACCAATAGCAAAAGCCAAAAGCTTCTTTACTACGAAGAAGATTTGAGCGTTAATCACCAATAACGCTTGCTCATTGCGGGTTGGCGATTTCAAACTTAGAAATTATAAGTCCAAGTTTCCTCACGATGAAGCCGCGGAGAACCTAACGGGTAACCGGGGCTCCGGCTCGAAGTGCAGGAGTAGGAACGGGGTGGTTTTTAGTCAGTAAGAGTCTGACACTCCCTCTCGCCCGGCCTGGAGAAGTCATTGGATGATTTTATACCCTCAAAAAAAAGCTTTCCTCACGATGTTTTCCTTCATCGTTTATCGGTGGTGACTAAATAATCTTATCATCCCTAACTCGGTAGTCTATTATTATTACTATTTATTATTAGCCATGGTCGTTCCACTACAAAGCAATGAACTCCAAAACTTAAAAAGTTAGCTAGGTAGACTAACGACGAAAAAAAAAATGTATTATACAGCGTGTCATCAATAACCGACCAAATCTAATCTAGCCCGCATCGATTACCGAAACGTACCGAAATTAAACTCTGTCCCAAAGACACAAAACACAGTCTTGAATGCCGACAAACAATAATTTCACTAAGAATAAATCTCTAAAAATAACTAGACGGAACTAAGTTATATCCGCAGAAGAAACTTCATAGTAAGCCACTCACTTATATATTGCACGAACCGCTTTACCAAACAACATACTCTAGATAAGGGTATAAAAATAAACAAATAATTTACCCTAGTATTTCATATCGGGTTCTAATATATGGGCAGATCCCCAACATAGTCACTGCCGACTACTTACGACTATTGCCGACGATTGCCGACTCCTACCGACTACCGGCGATCGACAAAACCTTATCGATTAACCGTAAAACCTTACTACGGCAATTCCTTTATTATAAAAGTCGCGCAATTCTAACAAATTATTCTTAACGGTTTTCTTATTGTGTTACTATGGCCACAGACTAAGTGAAGATTGAAAAACAGTTAGTCCACTCCTATAGCTATCTAAGTTTAATATTAAAATTCTATTTATAGTGGCATTAAGTGCCGTAATGTTCACCTCTGCCTACCCCTTCGGGAATAAAAGGCGTGATATTGTTGTTATAGGCTCACCCCCGCCTATTGCCATATACCGGGCACAATTCCAGACTCCGTGCTACTACTGAGATTTTTTTAAAACCCAGTAATACTTTGCCCGTCCCGGGAATCGAACCCGAGACCGCTTGCCCGCCAATCGCACTTGCGACCACAAGGCCAACGAGGCAGCCAAGAAAAGAAAAATTCTTCTTCTAAAAAATAAAGGTGAATAAATATGTGTTACAATTTAATCTTTGTCGACTACGCAATCTGCGCATGATTGCGTATGTACTTGCGACGTTATAAAGCCATATCGTCACGGTATCCGATATTTATATGTATTTATTTATTATTGCCTCGTTGGCCTAGTAGTCGCAACTGCGACTGCCGGGCAAGGGGTCTTGGGTTCGATTCCCAGGTCGTGCAAAGTATATCTGGGAGTTTCAAAAATTGTCAGTGACAGCACGAAGTCTGAAATTGTGCCCGGTATATGGCAACAGACTCACCCCTTATTACATGGGACAAAACATAAAGTAGTGAAAAGTGGGTGTTACATTGTACTGTGGCATTAAGTGCCGTAATGTGCAATTCTAAAAAAAGTATTGAAGATAACAGTTCTAAAAACGTATTGAAGATAACAGTTCTAAAAAAGTATTGAATTTGACTAGTCTGCAAAAAAAAACTAAAACTCTCGTTCGAGCTCAGAACTTTGACATCTCAAACTCATGTTTTAAACCACAATTCTGAACAATGTAGCGAATAGACCGCTTTAACCATCTAGTTCGACTGTAGTTATATGACCTAAATATTATAACCGTTGCAACTTTATTACTATTCACTTATCGACTCTAGAATTGATTGCGCCTAGGTATCGTACAACGAATCGCAAGTTCCAATATAACAGATCTTACTAACATCATTAAGAACTTTGTAAGTGAGATTGTATGTTACGTCAAATCGGCTGAAGGGGTCGGGATGATATTTGGGACAGGGTAGATTAGTCTGGTACAACATATAGGCTACATTTGTATGCCACGGGACCACAGATAAGCTAGTTATTTATATGACCTGAAATGAGTACTTGACAACTAATCAAATTATAAGTGTGGGAGCTTCCATGCTTCGGCACGAATGGGCCGGCTCGACCGGAGTGATACCACGGCCGAGCAGAAAACCGAAGTGAAGCAACGCTTGCGTTGTATTTCGTCGTGTGAGTGAGGTTACCGGAGGCCCAATTACCCTCCCGTTCCCCAATCCCTGAATCCCCAACGATCCTCAAACTCCTAATCCCCAAAACGCCGGTAACGCACCTGTAACGCCAATGGTGTTCCAGGTGTCCATCGGCGACGTCGATTGCTTACCATCAGGTGATCCGCCTGCTTGTTTACCGGCTTATGCCATATATAATTATTTCTTATGCCATATATAATTATTTCTTAAACATTTACTGGATAAATACTACAATTAAGTTAGTCATAAAATCAATTATGAAAGTGTGATTGTTTTTTAATATTCTATTGTATTGAACAGTCGAAATGATTTATTTTTGATTAAGGCAAGTACCCTAAAAGTAATTAAAATTCCAAAAAGTTCCAACTGATGTTACAGTTAACACTTAAAAGTTAATTGTTGCTTAATTCTTTTAACGCTAATCTGAAATATTTGATTTCGCGATACCTAATATAATGCTAGCCGCTAGCGACTTTTTGCGCTGTGAATAAAATAGTATTTAAAATATAATTACCGTTCCCTTTCCCGTTCTCGCTCTCGCTCGCGTATCTCCCTCTCTCGTTCTCGCTCGCGTTGCTCCCTGCAACAAACAACATTGTTATTAGTGAAACAAGTGAAACAAGTGAAACAAGTGAATTTATTTCTGCAAATAGGCTACAAAGCAGCACTTTTACACGTCAATGTTATCAAGCGAACGATGAGGTCGACATTTCCTAACTGACTACTCTGAGAAGAAATGCCGAAACAAACTCAGAGGTCTGTCTCTTTTAAAGTCCAGACAATATGTATAAAAGATTATGTGTGAGAACCGTGCAAGTTCTTTCTGTAGTGGCCTTTTGAGGAAAGAACCACAACAGTTTGAGCGGACCCGTTCTGAAGGCAGTACGCATGTGTCGGTTTACAGTCGGCTCAATTAACAGGTGAGGCTGACTGATTCGACGAACAATACCAACCTAAAGAACATTTGCGTGGGTCGCACAAATACTCAAACTGTCAGAATATGGGTAATTAGAAAAGAAATGGTGAGGCAAAGTCTCGCACGGTCCTAGCACTAACAATTGTAAAGGAAAAAGCAAATGTCAAGTTAGAACAATGTATGAAAAACAATGTCAAGAAATGTAACTATATGTTACAAACATGTCAACATGACCCGTGTGGACGTTACAGCAGCTTATTCCCAAGCCAGACTATCATCTAGGTAGTCTTTAATTTTATAAAAAGCTTTACTATAAAATTTATCTTTAATGGCATTTTTAAATTTATTTAGACTCAGATTTTGGATATGGCTGGGAATTTTATTGTAAAAGCGTATACTCTGACATCTAAACGAACCACTTATTTTCTTTAGTCTAGTAGTGGGAACAACATATTTGTCTTTATTTCTCGTGTTGATATTATGTATATCACTATGCTTTTTAAATAAATTTTTGTTTTTATGAGCATATACTACATTTTCATAAATGTATTGAGAGGCAACGGTCATTATATTAATTTCTTTAAATAGTTCCCTGAGAGAGTACCTCGGACTAAGATTATAAATTGATCGAATGGCCCTCTTCTGCAGAACAAAGATAGATTGAATGTCAGCAGCATTCCCCCATAGGAGAATACCATATGACATGACACTATGAAAATAACTAAAGTATACTAATCGCGCTGTATCTACATCGGTTAACTTTCTAATTTTTTTAACGGCATATGCTGCAGAACTGAGCCTTTTCGATAACTTATCTATATGTGGAGCCCACTGGAGCTTAGCGTCTAGGGTTATACCTAAAAAGACAGCAGAATCTACAGGGCTCAACTCCTCACCCTTAATGAGCACGCTGGTTTTAACATGTCCAACATTTGGTGTTGTAAATTTAATGCATTTAGTTTTAGTTCCATTTAGTAATAGGTTGTTGGCACTAAACCAGCGTACTACTTCCGAGAGAGCATTGTTCACATTATCAATGACTAATTGTCTACGTTTAAGTTTAAATAATAACAAAGTATCATCCGCAAACAGTACTATCCCGTGGTTATCCCGTACGAGGTAAGGTAAGTCATTTATATATATAAGAAACAAAAAAGGGCCGAGAATTGACCCCTGCGGAACCCCCATCCTGACAACAGACCCGGCGGAGACTTTTCCGTTTATCTCGACTCTCTGAATCCTGTTACTCAAGTATGAGGTAAGAAGATCCAGAGATTTCATCCATCCAGAGAGTTCATTACGGAGTAGAATTCAAAATTGGGTAATTTCTTCAGTCAAAAAGAAATTACTTTGACACTTCATTATAATAAAATATACACAAATTGGACGATATACTTCATTTTAGTTTGTTCTAATTAAAAATATAAGTATGCCATTTGACGTCATTGACTGCCTCGTTGAACGAGTGGTTGCAAGTGCGAGGGCAAGAGGTCGGTTCGATTCCCGGGTCATGCAAAGTATTATTGGGTTTTAAAAAAAAATGTCAGTAACAGCACGGAGTCTGGAATTGTCCCGATATATGGTAATAGGCTTACCCCTATTACATGGGACTCATAGCATAAACAGTGCGAAGTAGGTGCACCTCTGCCTACCCCTTTAGGGATAAAAGGCGTTTTATGTATGCCATTTGAAGTACAAATATTATGAATCAATGCACACTTTCAAGTTCAAATGCAGTTTGTTTATATGTACTACTGACCTCTCTCTTTCCCTTTCTCGCTCTCGTTCCCGTTCTCTGTCTCGCTCCCTCTCTTCGCGCTCCCTCTCCCTTTCCTTGTCACGTTCCTCGCGTCGATCTTTACTCCTGAAACAAGATTACATTTCTTATGAAGTTATTACTATTTTTACTAATACATATGTAGATGTCACACTTGATCTTGGGGCTACTATAATAATTAGTTATTATATTAAAAGATTAAAACTTGTCAATGCTTACCTCGAAGTACTACGACGGCGACGATCTTTATCTCTAGCATCTCTAGCATCTCTATTATCTCTATCCCTCTCCTTATCCCGATCACGTTCTCGATCCCTGTCCCGCTCGCGATCCTTATCTCGCTCCCGATCCCGCTCGGCGGGTCGCTCGCGGCGGTCGTCCCGCTCGCGCCGGTCGTCCCGCTCGCGCGGGCGTTCGGGCTCGTCCTTGTTGTCCCGCTTGCGGCGCACGACGACCTCGGCCTCCTCCTGCGCCCAAATACAGACTCTGAATACGACCGCGTGTCGTCCGATGTTTCAGTTCGCACACGAACCAACAAACTACGGCGCGGCCTCGCTGACGCGCTCGCACGGCCCTCGCCCGGACAGATCGAGGAGCCCGCGTCGAGTCAGCGAGCCCGCGCCGATTGATAAGTCGAGCAAGATCAATTTCATACGATTGAGGGTGGTCGGGCGCTAGCACGCGATAGTACGAGCGACAAGGATGCGCCGCTCCCCGCCGAGGCCGCTCCGCCGCATCTGAAAATCGCCACCTACTGACCACTGGAAGTGACACTGGCTACTGGTAGTATAACACACCGCCGCGCGCCCGACACAGGGCGCGGGCGGCGGCGACTACTCACGCGCTGCTGGCGCTCCCGGCCCCCGGCCGCCGCCGCCGCTGTATACTACTTATGTTACTGCTCGGTGCCGCCGCCCATAGCTTGCGGATAGCTAACGCTCGCTGTTTTATTCTTGTGTTGTCAAATTATATTTTAAATGCCTATTCTCCTGTCTTAATATAGTACCCATGACAGTATCATAATTATTATTAAATTAATAGGTGAATCTGAATATGGTCCGAGTAACCAACACCGCGGAGTGTTAAACTTTGACCTCAAGTTAAGAAGCTGAAAAATTGGAAACCTGCATTGATACAGGTCCAAATATTGGTTTCTTGGACCTTCGACATGTATGAACAGCAATATGAGCCTACACAGTACATACAACTGATTATTGTAATTATTATTATTTTACAGTGAAAGCACCTCTTCATATCTTAGAGTATTTAATCCCATTGACTGTACGCGGAAACAACCATAGATTATTGTAAAATGATTGTACGGTTTGTAAATTCACTACATTGAAGCAATCAGAATGATTACTCAATCAGAATGATTGTGTACATAAAATCATAAATCATAGCACGTGACTATGTCAAATAGTGTATGTCAAAAAACGTCAACCTGCTAATATGATTTTTGAAATGTGATTTAAAAGTGATTCGATACGTGTATAAAATCGATTAAAAGTAATAATGTCTCAAATACATTATTTTACTACGGCCATAAACAGCGATTTATTTAAAGATTCTGATAAGTGGCCTTTAGAGTCAATAGGATTAAATATTTCATCATTAGTTTTACAAATCTGATGATTACACAAGGTAAGCGAAGACGACAACGAAATATGTATAATTTAACTGAACAAAAATTATAATTACCAAACAGAAATAAAGGCTTTAAAACCAGTTTTGTTTATGGCGCTGTTTTTTTTTATTAAGTGACGTTTGACAGCAATGACAGTTGTCACGGAGGAGTAACGATAGAATTTGATATCACAGCTATTAAAAAACTTAATCTTTTTGTCAGCTACGGTTACAAAAATGATCAAAAAGGAGTACAGAACTCTATGATACATTAACACTTGCTAATACTACGTGCAAAATGACAGCTGTCATTGCTGTCAGCTACCTAATACGAGATTGTCAGATAAAATAAGTTCTAACCTCGATGCTATTAGGTATCAGTACAGCACAGCAGTAACAATGAATGGTATTATTCATAGACGCCTCATTACTGTCTTCTTCTAGATATGATGCATTTTAATTTTATTAAGATATTCACAATTGACGACATTTTATTAATAATAAGTCTAACTATTTTGTCAATGTTAAAAATGACACTGATCAAACTTAGCAATGTTGACTTTTAATTTAAAAAAATATGACAAATGTTGTCAACTGTCAGAAGAGCGCAGCTGTCAAAACTAATGATCACCATATTCATCCCTGGTTTATGAAATCCTTGTAAATGGCCAGCGGTGAACAATTGAACACACAAACAGTGAATTTGATGGTAAATAGAAAATTATAGAAGTAATTAGTAAAATGGCTAAAAAAAAACATTCTAAAGTTGAAGAAGTGTGAATAATCTTTTTTTAAATAATAAAAATATTCGACACGTATTTTTTTTCTTCTTTAAATACATAATAGTAACGCAACGGTGAAACATTGAGATGAATAAGAGTACCTTTTCACACGTTTCAATGAATATAAAATATGCGTCAAATATTTATTGTAAAATCTAAACAACTGACTAACGGCCGAATACAGAGATACTACTCAATTTTAAGTCGTACTTAAACATCGTGCCATCTCTGTCGTTTGATAAAATACTTATAGGAACAGAAATACTTATTTACCTTAAAATTGAGAGGCATTTGAGTAATTGACCATAAATTAAATAAAATGCTTTCATACCCTGTCACGAATCATCCTTTAACCATTGCATGCCGATAAAATTGCGAATAAAAACTGTAATTTATGAAATGAACATTTAAACCGACCCGATTTTTACCACATTTTGGAAAAATTGTTTTTAATATTGTCCCTACTGTGAAGGTGTGAGGGATTGTACTCACTACTGTGTCCTTGGTGTCAGGCGTGGACGCGGCTTGTTGCTATGGAGCTAAAAAAGTGAGTGGGATGACTTCGGGAACAGGATGGGATGAGTTTAAGTATGGGACGGGATGATTTTAGGAATGGGACGGGGTGAGTTTAGCGATAGTGTAGGGCTAGTTTGGGAATGATATGGGTTGAGTTTGAGGATGAAGTGGGTTGAGTTTGAGGGCGACGTGGGTTGAGTTTGGGGATGACGTAGGTTGAGTTTGGAAATGGAACAAGATAAGATTGGGGACGGGGCCGGGGCGTGACGCGGGTGCGATCTTACCTTCATACTCTCGCGGAACTTGCCAATCTCGCGATGGATCACATCGCGCTTCTCCTCAGATATGTCGGCTTCCTCGAGCACGCGCGCCGTTTTGGAGATCGCTTCCTCTGTGGACACAATTGGACAATTTGTAGACGTCATTTGAGAGAACCACAATATACTTTGATTTGACTAATGCTTTTCATACAGTTTAAAGACTAGAAATTAAAAGCAAATAGCTTTCAACATTAATATGTCCAATTAGAGTGCCTATTGGACTGATAGGTACCGTTTCAATTTGCTAAAGTGGAATACAGTTCTTCGAGCGCTTAACACAGAAAAGCTAATATTCTAAGCTATGTAGAGTTAAAATTCAGGATTTAGTGCTTTGTGGAATAATGAGAACACAAATATGCAATTCTTGTAGTAAAATGGTACAAACCCTTCTGCAGCAGTTCATAATTATTAATATCGTCCTGGTAGTCCCTCATGATCTGTTGCAGTCGTCGTTCGGCGGCCTCGTCGAGCGCCCTCTGTCGAGCGTCGAGGTAGGAGGCCTCGCCCTCCGTGCCCGGGGCACCCTCCTCCTGACCTAGCCGAGACCGCTGCTCAGCTAGAAAGAAAGAGGAATATGATGTTATTACCTTAAAGCTTATAAAAGTTAAGTAGAAATAATGTAAGTATTTTGTAGACTGAGCCAGTAGAACAAGTTATTGTAACATGTCAAATGTCTTCAAGATTTTCTTGGATAACTTTATTAATTATGGTTTATACCACTTTTCTAAGGTTGTCATAGGGTTTGTCATATCCTACAGAAGTTTGTGGCGACGGAGATATTATGTATATTTGTTACTCAAAAACTACGTACTGAATGAATCTAAGGCCTCCGTAGAAGTTTCTTTTTCGTTTAGAGTAATCGAAACGAGACGGCGTTCTATGCTCTGATTGGTTGGTTCATTAGAGTCGGCCAATCACAGCGTACCGAACGCATACTCGTTACGATTACTTTACACGAAAAAGAAACTCGTACTAAGGCCTCTGAATGAAATTAAGAATAGCGATAGATTATATTGTGGAATAAACAATAACGTGGATGAAGCCAATACTTACTTTTATATGTATCAACTAACGCCTGCATCTTGCCATCAGTCTTGGCAAGCAGTTGTTTGTCAGCGACGGGTCTACTGTTCAGTAGCCTCACGCAGCGCAGCGCAGCCTCGGGACTAGCGAACTCACTGAATCCAAACGTGGAGACACGTTTCCAACTGAGCACAGGGCCACAAGCACCCAGGAGGGAGCGGATCATGGCGTCCGGCGCTCTAGAGGATATGTTACCTGTAACAATACAGTGCAGTTATTAGTATGACTAGTTTATATAGGACAACCACTTTTGCCCATTGTGAACCCGAAGTATTAAATTAACAGTATGTAAACATACTCATCTATACACATATAATAAAATCTTAGGAAAGTGAGAACTGTACATTAATTTTTTTTTAAAGAATGCTTGGGCCATGATCTACAGTCGATACCGAAAACAAAAATATGGTTTGTCTGCATGTATATATCCGGGATGAACTCAAAAATTGCTGCATGGATTTATTTCAAATTATGCATGAATATTAATAACAAGTCAGGTCAACATATAGGCTACATATTATCATGTTATCAACTACAGGGGAGCAGCTGTGAATCACTATTCCACGGAAGTCGCGGGCTTAGCTAGTAATTTTATAAGATGTGACTCAACTTTTCATCAGTTACATTATAAGTCCCATAAAAAAAAGGACAGATGTATTGCCATTAATCCAGCACAATTCTAGTCATCATCTCGACATTAGAGATCATTAGACATCTTAGAGACTCCATGCTTGACAATTAGAAGAAAAATGAATTATCATGAACATGAACACCAATATTTTTTTATGCGATGCACTCTGCCTAAGAGGCCGTCTCTCTCCAGTGGTATCCGGCCATCTATATTGTTTGTGTTAAATAATATAACAAGGATTATAGGGTATGATTCTTACCTATGAAGACTGTAACGGCAGGTCCCTCAGGATCCTTAGCGCCGTTAGCGTTGCGCGTCGGCCCACGAGAGATGACGGCTTTGCCGGGCGGGGGCGCAGGCAGCAGGGCTCCTCGCCCGCCGCCCGCACCGCTTGCGCTGTACGCTCCCACCATTACCTGTGACATAAAAGAATCCTATTACAATATCAGGTCACAACTAAGATAAACCGAATTAAAAAAGAAGATCTTGCAGATGCTGGTTTAGGAAATCATTTAGTATTCAGAAGGATGTACTACAAGGTTGTTATGAAGTAGAATGAAGAGTCTCTAGTTGGATTTACGTAGGTGCACTAAAGATATTGAGTACAGAGTATTAACTTTCATTAGGTACCTAATAAATATTTTAGCCAGAAACCGATAATAATGTAAGAATATAGAAAGAAAGAATATAAACCTATAATAAAGTTAATGTTGTGAAAATGTCTAGTTCTAATGTCTAATTTTAAAGTATTATTTACACCGTTATTAATGGTTTTTAAATGCTTGAAAAATAAAATAATTATACATTTGATAACTATTACAAATTTTGCATAACAAACATGAGTAATCAAGCATATAGAAATTAAGAAATGAGCAAAACAATACAGGTTTTAGCATAACATAATAATATTATTCAAAGTAGTCGAGGTATTGTGTTAAAGCATAAATAATCAATATTAATTTAACAATAACAATTAATATATAACAGGTACAATAACTGTGAAAGGAACATAAATAATTTATTGCACTCTAACGCATGAATTGCTAGTGTGACTACTTGCATCGAAGCATAAATTTCAAAAGTAAACAATATACCTAATAATTTAAGACATAATCAGTGATAGGTATTATCATATTATCAGTTGTAATGGTGATAATTTCTAAAGTTCTACTGTTAAATGAAAACAAACCTTTACAACATGTGGTTAATAGACTAGCATGCAAAGAATAAGTCAACAAAAAGATTTAAAATCAAGTAAAACTTCTGAGGGCTTTAGGTTTGCACTGCACTGCACTGCACTGGAGAAAACAAGTCTAATCTTCAAATGCTCAAAAATCACTAAATTTTAAGACATGTTCAAGTATAGTTCTGACACTACAAATTCAATTCTTTATAAAATGACTGTTAGTATTTGGGTGTAAAACACCACAAAAACAACATAAATACTTTGAAATTTTGAAATTCTATTTCATAAAAGAACATTGATAACTACACTAACAAATAGAAAGAAAGAGTAAAAAGTCAATAATTACCTAACTATGTAATATAATAAATAAATTAAAATATAAATAGTCTGTTACCTGTTTACACTTTATCTAAACATCAATCTTATTGAAATTGTGCATAAATATAGTTGGCAGTATGGATAAGACTATAGGCTAATTGACATAGCTAAAACTGTCTGCAAGTCACACAAGCACTTCTGCCTAACAGTTCAGGGTATAGTGTACCATTATAACCAATTGAATACCAATAACTCAGTTATTATTGCCACCTGTAATATTGAATAGTTGGGAGTTGGGTCAATGGGTTAATGCGACAATAAAATAAATTAAGTTCATAAATAACTGATAATTACTGTGATTATCTAAGACACTGATAAATTCTATCTAGGGTGACAATTAATGCATCTAAAAAGAAATTAAAAGGTAAATTGAAAATATAGTTTTATAACATTTTCTATTCATGTTTAAATCTTATTGTCATAAAATCGTATTCATGATGAATTGTAAAATGTTTTAACTGTATCTTATAAATGGTCAAAATAAACAAATAGTTGTATGTCTACAAGAATTAATTTTAAATATCTCCAATTTAATGTACCTTAAGTTAATGTCAAGTTTATATTGATTTTCATGTTATTTTTCATGTCATTTTTATTGCTTCTTTGAGAATGCAACATCAATTAGAAAAATATCTTAAAACTATTGGAAAATATTTTCAGAGACTATCAGTCATTACAACAATATGTTGGGATGTAAAATTAGTGTGTAATAAATTAAAATACATTTAAGAGATAAAATTAAGGCTAAATAAATCTACATAAATATATCAATGAAATTGTTAAAATACCATGCAGTAAGTATGAAATCTTACATCTCTAAAGTCTGAAGATAAGGAGTGTCTTGAGTCAAATAATTAAAATAACACATTTTAGTAATAAAAAGGAAGAAAAAATGCCATGTAATAATGCAGTATTAAATCTAACATGCCACAAGGCTGAATATGAAGTGTCTTAGACAATCAAAACCAGAAAATTGGTAAACATTGATCTATGGTTTAGGTGTTTAGGTTTGGCAAATTAGAAGTGTAAATTATCACATTTTCACCTTTTAATAGATAGCTACAAAATAATGAAATGCAAACTATGTTTCTTTGATTAAGATTTCAATGTGAATTATATGTTTTCATTCAAAGTCAAATCAGTTATTACTTATCCAGTTCAGGATTAGCTTTAATTTTTTTAAATAGATTCATAACTTTAGTGTAAAATATACCATAAAAATATGTGGTAATAAAAATAAATGAGAAAGACAGTCATACCTTTGGAAATATTTTCACAAGATTGTTAATATACTTTGAGAAATCTTAAAACCGAGTCAGATTACTTAGGTAACGTTTCTAACGTATCAAATATTACGAGTCCTTGCAAATGACATGTTATAACAGAAACACTTTTTCATGCTTGAATAATTACAATTATCTTGTGAAAATCGACACTGATCGAGTCTGCAGAATATTATAACGGAAATGTATGATGAATCAGCTGTTTGATGGATCTTGTTTCTGCATCAGCAGCTTAATTTGTAGCGAGGTTAGGCCCTCCAAGACTTACATGTGTAGGCATCTGCATTGTGACGACTCCAGGTGCTATCCCGTATGGCACCAGCGGCGGCCGAGGCGGGAACGACATCTTACCGCTTAATACCTGTGCTTACGGCTTGGCTGCACTGGTGACCGCCAGGTTTCACCACAAAATCACCACCGGTGACGCGTTCACTTTTTTTAGAAATAAATTCACTTAATAAGTAGCAACTTCTACTGACATTAAATAATAAATATATTATTATAACTATGATCTATTAAAATCAATCTTAAAATCTCACTATAAACCACAATTCACGAAATTCACTTTTATCACCAACATGGTTACTTTAGCAGCCATATTGTTTTTTTACAATCTAACATTTTAACATGTCAGATTGTCAATAGCGCATAGTCTATGGTTTCGTTCAGAAATGTAAAAAGAGGTTCTATATTAATCGTAGAAACTGTTTATGGCACTATTGGCACTGGTGTGATTTTATTGATAAAATCTATGATTTATGGAAAATCACAAGAAATTAATTGCCAGCAAATTAAACACAATAATTATTAGTTATTATAACGAATAGTATTCTAACATTCATTTTTGATCAAAATAAAATAAAAATGACTTTCAACATCAACTAATAGTTCGTAAAGCTGACACTAGATGGCGCTGTAATGATTTTGGCATGTAATGAGAGTCTTGAATAAATAAATTTTCATTTTAATGCCTTCATAACATTTCAAAAATGATTTAAACATATTTCCTACTGCAGTTTTTCTACAAACCGGAAAAGTCTCATTACATTATTTGACCCAGGAATTAAATGATTGTTTGGCAAACCACTCGATCCACAAGGCGGGCATTTCAAATATTATATTCTAATGTGAATATCATTTCATAATTGTAATCTTGTTGAAATTACAATTTCGTTACTATTTCAATTTCAATATAATTTCGACAATATTATAATTGTATGTACTTATTGGAGAGGCCCATGTCTAGCAAAGGACGAATACAGGCTGATTTTTATGATGATGATGATGTACTTATAAATCCATTTCCGGAATACTCGGAATATGCATTCATTTCAAAGCATTTTTTATGTTTCTCTTACAGAAAAAACACCAGATATATTATACATTTACATACACACAACATATAAGATTCTTTTGTCTTGACTGTGACTGCGTTTAAATCGTGGGTGCCTTTATAATTTATGTGCAGAGTTTGACTTGCCCATCTGAGATCTCGCATCAAATTAGCCCGTACGGGGATGGAACCTTGCATCACGTTGCAGTCGCCTTGTCCTGTCTATCAGTATTTGTGTCAGTAAACTTACGGGCTCGTTCCACACTGTAGATTCGATACGTATGGAAAAACCCGATCTAGAAACTCCATTTCTTCTCTTCACATTACATGGCAAAGTCAAGCGCAATAATTATTTAATTACCTTTTAGTTACGCAGTTCTCTCACCGCAAACGATGAATGAGTAACCAATAGAGCTGGAATTGGAATCGAGTAAGCAAGCCGCGGCGATCGAAAGTCTAGTTGCGTGCTTTCTGATCAGAGGCGTTAGTACGAGTTTTATTTACTTTTACAGTATTCGAAACGAGTGCGCGTTCTGCGCTCTGATTGGCCGGCTCGAATGAACCAACCAATCAGAGCGCCGAACGCGTACTAGTTTCGAATACTTTAAACGTAAAACAAACTCGTACTAAGGCCTCTGCACCGCAGAGAAATGACCACTGGTCGCTTTCACAGCATTAGTTCTAATCTTAGAGTATTTAGCCAATCTAAGGTTCTAATTGTTTATCAAATACTTAACATCACTCCGCTATTCATTTAAATGGCGACTCTTTTTACTACTTTAAGGTAGATAGGTACTAAATGAAAACCTTTCAATAGTAATTTAACTTCACATTTTGCATATGTAGGTAATTAATAAGTTCGTAGAACAAAAATTCTGAATTGGTTTTTTAGTACAATAATTCTTGGTCGAAGGGCTGGGCTGTGGAGCTCGAAATCGTGGGTACTTATCGCTGTAGGTACTAGGTACGGCCAAGTGACGGTGCTAGTAATATCTTTTATACCTTTTGTCGCTCAGCAACAAACTAGTGAAGCGAGTGCTCGCCGCAGTATGAACAGTCAGCGATCAACTATTTGTATCTGCACCTCTTTTGTTTAAACGTAATGTATATCTCTCATACGTTTCTTGAGCGAGAAAATAACCGATCATAAGTAACGATAGTTAGATTGTAAGTGTCGACATTGATAACGAAAAAGTGCATCGGCTTGAAATTTCTGGTGTTAGTCAGAATTCCAGTTGTAATCATTGCCTCTGCATAAGATCTAAGACATAAATCGATAAATAAAATATTAAAAAGTATTTTTAAACTAACTTTAATAATTTGAACATAAAGTTATTGATTGACTTAGAATTATTTTTACAAAAGAAATTACGAACTAATAAAATAGAATTTTACAAAACATTTACATGACTGCACGGTTGGTGCGGTGGCTGGGCAACCGGCTGCCGTGCAACGTGTCGCGGGTTCGATTCCCGCACGGGACAACACTTTGTGTGATCCGCAAATTGTTGTTCCGGGTCTGGGTGTCATTGTGTATGTGAACTTGAATGTTTGTAAACGCACCCACGACACAGGAGAAAATCCTAGTGTGGGGCAACGTTTTTTTTTTAAAAAAAAAAAAAAAAAAAAAAAAAATTTATTGAATTGTGATATGTACTCTAAGTTTAAATGATTTTATAACAATTTTTAAGTTAATTTTTAGAGCATTCAAAAGTTAGATTAAGTAATAAATAAATTCACAGAACATATTGTCAAAACAGCACAACTATAATACTTAAGTAAAATAATTAAATGCTTATGATTCGTATGAATGAAAAATGAAATAAATGCCAAAAAGTACTTTTAGCATAATTATCATTTTATCAACTACGACTGAATGCTCCATTTACAGCATGGGTGTTGATTTATTAAGTTTTGATTCTACACTCACTAGATGGCGTTTGAAGCATAAGGTTATAGAGCAATCAGCCTAGTATTGACAATATTCTATTGGTCAACAGACGAACACCCTTATTAGATATTTTTTTCTTATTTGTTATACTGACAAATGTGGTTAAATGCTTAGACGAATATACTATTAATGTTCAATGTTATATAATATGTATGACTATTGTATAGTATGCTATATATAATATATAATGTGGGCAACTTGCTAATAAATCAAAGATTAAACTATTGTTTCTACGTGTCAAGATACTTTACAGACATAAATAAATATCATTTTAAGTATCTAATCACAATATTCACAAATACTTTTGCATATCATAAGTAAGTAAGCTAATAAAAACAGCATAACAATATTGCTATAAATAATTTATTTTGATTGCATGTTAGGTACTGATTTATATGGAAAAGAAAACTATAGCCCCATGTTTGCTATTTATTATACAAAAGCGCAATTAACCGTTTTCTAGTTCCATCATAACATCACGCTTTTTTATCCCCGAAGGGGTAGGCAGAGGTGCACATTTTGCCACTGTACAATGTAACACCCACTTTTCACTATTTATGTTATGAGTCCCATTATAATAGGTGGTGAGCCTATTACCATATACCGGGCACAATTCCAGACTCCGTGCTACTACTTTTCTAGTTCCAATAAACATAATTATGTATGTACAAGTAATTAGATTGTAATCTTAAAAATCTGTTTTCATTAACCTTTATTAATTTGTAAAAACTTACCAGAAGCTTGCGATTAAGTTGTCTCAAAAGATAAGATCTTGAGGTCACAAGTGATTTAAAACTCATCAAAAGTTCGAATAGTCAAATATATTTGTTGATAAAAATCTATACAGTGTATTAGAATGAGATAAAATCGCAAGCAATCATAATTTTTATGTTAATAAAGTGCTTATTATGTCCTATTCCATATACGATTCATAATTATTGGCCTAACAAGCATGTTTTACATAATTATGAATTTGTTCTGATCATCGTGTCGCCCACATACTAATATTATAGTTTGTTATAATTAACGATGTAGAAAATTATTCTAATTAGGCTTGGACAAGTGATTTTTAAGTGGTCTGTTTTTATGTTATGGAGACCAGTTTTGTTTCTCTGTCATGTTTTTTTTTGTTATCTTTACGTCTATGATTTACTTTTGGGAAGCTATGTCAGTAGTGTTAATGACTAAATGAGGCTTATAAATAAATAATTGGTTTTATAAATATTATAATTTGTTATTTATTGTAATATACAGGTAATTAGGTAGATTAATATGCTTTAGTGAAATTGAAAAAACTTACTACTGATGTGGAACTACGCAACGCAACGCATGTTGATTGGTCGTTATTTTAAATGGTGTAACATAATTGGCGGAGATGATATGGGCCGTAGTCTGTTGTTTCAGTAATATGTTCATATTTTGTGTAAACTTACGGTTGAACTGTTCAAGTGTGCAAAAATATGATTAAAATAAAACTTAGATATAGGTACTTAAATATTCGTTATAAACTAGAATATACAAAGTAAATACAAAATAATTAACATTCTGTGGTCGTATACAACTTATATTATGTGGTTCATAAATACTGAAGCTACTGCTTTCGGTAAAGTATTTGAATAAGTATTATTATATCAAAAGAAATATTTTAAAAGGTCTCACAGTAATTAATCAATACAATAAGTATTATCGACACTGGTGATCCGGTTATCATCAATGTCGAGACTACCGCTCTAGAAAATTGAATGGTTCAGAATTAATATTTAGGCTGTCAATTTTCTAATAAGTGTAATGTAAAGAAACTGCTTTTTAATTCATACACACAATATGGAAACATTTTAAAATATTTTCGATTGGTATAATAAACAATATAAGAAAATTATGTGAGCCTATAAATACTATTAATAGTTAACTATTTGAAGGTGTTAAAGTTGTAAAGGGCAAGTTTGAATCGGCCTAAAGTTTTCAAAAGATACAATTATGTAGTACTTATTTACATTGACCTACGAAGAGCTGCCTACTTGATATAAATTAAACAATATTTGCTTGTATTTTCTCAAAAAGAGAATTGTTTTTTTGAGACGAATTTATTGGCGCCTTTATTGCCAGGATATTTACAACTTTAGGACATGAGTACAGAGATCAAGCTTCATTGCATTTTTATGCCAAATGTTTGTGATTTATTCGATAATTATTGTTTATGACTTAACGACTAATTTCTGTCGTTATGATAATCGAGGCTTCCACGGCTGATCTTTTCAGCTTGATCTTTACAACTCATGGCGTTACTGGTAATCGAAGGGTCACGTATGGTGGTATTGAAGGTGTGCTAAAGGATGCTCGTAGAGTGGGTAGAGAGGCTGCGGCGCATGCGCAGGCAGGGCGTGAGGCGCTGGCCCATGTGCCGGCGCATCGCTGTCGTCGTCAGTTGAAGAATCCAGTTGCTTGTCGCCTGTACCTCCGCTGTAAATAGAAAAAGGGTTGGTTATGGATATGTTTCAAATGAATGAACAAAAATTACTGTGACTAAAACTCTGAGATTTTACAGTTGAGACACAAATATGACGACTAAGTTTTATCATACTTAGTATATCATACCTATCATACAACCTGCATTCTGTATTAAATTAGGACAAACGAGTCAAGGAGCCAAAAAACTTTTAATAGATACTTTACGTCACTCTAAGTCTATCTAACTCCAGTCTTAACCAAAGAGTGCCTATAATATGTAAGTATATGGGAAGTAGTCCCAATTATATACCTAGAGCTATGGTGCACATACATATTTTTACTCTTTACTCAACAAACACGAGCAACACCCATCAATAACACTCTGCAAAAAATCATAAGACCTCCTGTACAGCCACAAATTAGATGCTACTGGCAAAGTAACGCTACAAATTTGCATGTGGTAAACCGTAGAAGGCAAACTTTTTTATATTTGACTAGCGACCCGCCCCGGCTTCGCACGGGTGCAATATGCATGATATAAACCTTCCTTAAGAATCACTCTATCTATTAAAAAAAACCGCATCAAAATCCGTTGCGTAGTTTTAAAGATCTAAGCGTACATACGGACATACAGCGAAAGCGACTTTGTTTTATACTATGTATTGATTGATGGGCCGACGTTTGACCACTATCTCGCCTGGTGGCAAGCGATGATGCGGTCTACGATGGAGCACGTCATCACATAAGCAATCTAGAATCACTCGGGCCTTGAAGATACCCGGGTTAGGAAATACAGACTTTTTGCCAAATGCCGTGCCTACTTCTGATCTCTGTGCAACTACTTACCTACTGAAAATTTAAACAGGCCAACAACAGTACCTACATGACCTAGAAATAAAACACAAGACCTAGAAATGAAACACAAACGCCTTTATTCAGCAGTTCGCCCAAACTTCCAGCCTTGCAACTAAGATAGATGAAGCATACAAGGATGAATGACACATGAATCAAATCAAATCAAATCAAATCAAATTTATTCGCAAAAACATGTGTATACATACACACACACGCAGGTGCATGTATGTAGGATGATAAAAAATAGAACAGTTGCACTTAATACATGTTTACCACTTGTCATGGCATGCAAATTTTTTTGTAAGTAATAATCATATTATCAGCGTTAAATATTTATAAATGTCAAATAAAATTGTATGTAGGTAGGTATGTCAAAATTAAAATTATAGATACAGATAAGTCATAATTAAATTCGTACAATATGTCATCACATAACCAATGAAACAATCACAACCAATAAAATAATCATAATTTATAAAATAATAGCCATGTCTTACTTAAATCAAATAACTGTGTCATTTAAGAATTCGATGACACTATAGTAGACCTTCTGTAATAAAAAAAGTCTAAGCTTTCGCTTGATATGGTTGGCACCTAGTTCTCTCCATGATTTTGGCAATTTGTTAAATATTATAGGTGCCATGCAAAATACATTTCTGCGCATAAGCGCGGTCTTACAAGGATGAAGACAAAGTTTTGTGTAATCACGCCTGTTGCGCTGAGTTTTATCCTCAAGACGCGGAAATAAATGAGAATTATACATAACAAATAAAACTATTTCGAGAATGTATAACGATGGCATTGTAAGAATCCTATACTGTTCAAAGTATGGCCTGCAACTATCAGTAACTTTAAGTGTAAACATTGATCTCAGACATCTTTTCTGTGCCCTAAAAATGGTTGCCCATTCCACTGAATTGCCCCAAAAAATGATCCCGTAACGGAGAATAGATTCAGCTAATCCGTAGTACGCAATTAATAACGTGTTTATATGTATTGTTTGAGACAATCTGTGTAAAGCATATGCTCTATTACTTAATTGTTTTGCAAGTTTTTCTATATGAGCTTTCCAGTTCAGATTTTGGTCTATTGTTAAACCCAAAAATTTTGTTGATGTTACTGATTCAATAGTATCATTTCTATATGTAATGTCCGAACTAATTGATGCATTTGGTCTTGTACTAAAGTGCATGATAACAGTTTTACTCAGATTAATTTTTAGGTTATTATTGTTTAACCAGTCTATGGCATTAATTAAACTACTATTTATGTCATTGTTGTATTCTTCTCTTATTCTACATGGTATGGTTATAGTGCTATCATCCGCGAAAAGTGACATGGTATGTTCTATACTTTGAACAAAACTTTCGCCATGTAACTTAAACTTTTCATAATCTAAATGTACCTAGATTGCAATAGTTTACAGCAACTGCAAAAACTTCTTTAAATCGAACCTAAACATCAGAAACATCGCCCACCCAAATATTCTTAAAAAAACCGACACAAAAGCCACAATTCAGAAATTATTATTACCCATCGTACCCAATGAGGGGTGAGCACATCGGTACATATCAGTGATGACAGCCAGCCCTCCGGTCGAAACATGATACGCCAGGGTATTCTCTACACATAGACAAACCGAACAGTGATGTGCTAGAAGTTTTTATACGATTTCTGTTTTGTTGTCTTTGGTATTGGTAGTTGTTTGATTAATTTTATAAATAAAATTAGAATATGGTTAATGGACACTATTTTGTATTTATAAGACTTCTTTTTTTGTACCCATGTTCGCAAATGAATAAATGATTTGATTTGATTTGATTTGATTTGATTTGATTTGATTTAATAATACATAATGTTTATTTTTTCGAGGGAAAATCGATTATTTTGGTCGCGATTTTTGATTGCAATTGTAATTTTTTTGTGATATTGCTTGGTCTAGGAACCCTAAGTGTGATAGTCGAACAATGACCGGAGTTGGATTCCCGCGTTACATCATGAAAATTCTCAGTAATAATATGGTGTATGGAATTGTCCTCAGTGTACCTATAGGAATAGGTTTCCCCTCTATCAAATGAGAATCAAAACAAGATATTCAATTGTACCTATATTTGAACTTTTATCGGAAAGCAACAAATGCTACGATACCAGCTAGAAATCTATTCGTAAACCTCATGCATTGTTCAAAAAGCTATCAGACTACCACAGATGTGGCTCGGTAGCACTGATGCCCGTTACGGAGCCGCGGAATTCCTAACGGGTTGCCGGGGATCCGGCTCAAAGAGCATAAGTAGGAACGGGGTGGTTTTTAGTCAGTAAGAGTCTGACACTCTCACACCTACTGACTGAGACTATTATTAATTCTTTTGTATTTGTTGACGTTTCAAAAGTACCTACCAAAAATAGTTTAATTAAAATAAATGCTTTGATTTTGACTTTGACTTTGACACATCCTCTCATTGGATAATTGATAACAATGGATGATTTGCACCGCTCAAAAAAAAATCAACCTCATGCGTATTACCTAAGTCACATGACAATAAAAAACAAAACTTTTCCGTAATGGAATGGTCCCCATCACATTCACGAATATTCAATCAAATAAGATCAACTGACCTTAAAGTCTAGACCAACTCTTAGGCTAGATAAACCTTATCTTTTATTGCACCTCAATAAAGATAGCGATAGCCTAAAATAAATACAGTTTATCTAAATAATTCTGCATAATTAATAATTAAAATAAACAAATAAATGTATTCAGCTTCCCGATATGCTGATCTTGAAGATCACTATCTTTATATTAATAATAATATAAACATTACGTAAGTAATGTCGTTGTCATCACGCTGGTTGTGTCTTGAAAGGATTTGCAGACGTGTCATAAAGGCTTATTTTATAGGATTGAGTGGCGAACGGAAGGATCACCTGATGGAAAAGCAATGAATACGGCGCCATCCATGGACACCCGTTCACCAGAGAAGATAATATTTATTATGCATATTATATAGTATGTATTTATTAAGTGTGGGAGAGCCATGCTTCGGCACGAATGGGCCGGCTCGACCGGAGTGATACCACGGCTTCGGAGAAGACCCACGCTTGCGTTGTGTTTCGCCGTGTGAGTGAGGTTACCGGAGGCCCAATTACCGCCCCGTTCCCAATCCCTGAATCCCCAACAATCCTCAAATTCCAAATCCTAAAAGGCCGGTAACGCACTTCTAATGCCTCTGGTGTTCCAGGTGTCCATGGGTAACGTCGATTGCTTACCATCAGGTGATCCGTCTGCTCGTTTAACGACTTATCCCATAAAAAAATGCACTTACACTTTTCACCAGTTATGTTCTGAGTTCCAAGTCCCATCCTATCATTAAAACCTGGAGGTTGACTAGTGAGAATGGCATTAAGCCCACCATTGTACTGTAATGGCAAAAACTAAAACAAAACAAATAAATCATTCCACGTACGTACGTGTTGAGCCAATTCTAAACAGCGGACACAATTCCCGACACCGTACCTACCTTTAACGGCGATTTACGAAAAACCGAAAACAATCCAATAAAACTTTACCCTGCCCATGAATCGAACTTAAAATCCCTTGCTCGGCAGTCTCACGGTTACACGATAATCGAGTACACACGTATTTATTCTATATAGGTACCTACAGATGTGACGAAGTACACCCGGGAATAGAACACGGAACTGATCGGTTGGAAGCCAAACAGTTGCCATTTGTCTTCCAAAGGTCGTTTAAGTACAGTTAATAAAAATAAATTGTAGAACTCGAAGGTAACTATTGAATTTCAGTTGTAAAATTTTATCGAAGTGTTTGCCTACTGCAACGTGCAACCAAGTTTGTAATCTTATACCTTATATTATAAATCTAGTTTGTTTAAGTAGCTCTTATAATGTAATTTTAGATTTGTATGTAATTTGTGGCTGTTGTAGACCTACACATTAAATAGTATACCTGCGCCCGAATACCTACTGAAAGATTACTCAATTGGGATGATGACAGGGTATGAAAATTATTTTTTTTTTAACTTTGAAAAACTTTAAAAAAAATTAGTTCGTAATGAAAAAATATTAGACACGTATTTTTTATTTTGTCGTATAATAAAACAATACATAGATAAAACGAATCAAAGTTTAGGAGTGCG